GCAGAGGGGCCGCACAGCTGAGCCACGCAGAGTACATACCCACTGGTTTCACGTAGGTTTGTACTCGGCACAGCTCAGCCAGGCCTCCGTTACCAGTGCTACCCTGGCTACCCTGCTATTTATACTCATGCTAACTCAAGGAGTGCTAGCCCAAGTCTGCATACACCAGCAGGGATATCACACCCCACGCTTGTAGCACAGAGCCTGAGCTCAGCATGCGTGACACATGGCCAGACAGGGTTAAACATCCTGCAGGATGAATGACTCAAATTCAATCCTTAAAGACATATGGGGAGATAATGTTTGTGGTTTTGTGTATTTACATATATATGGGTACAGGTTTCAGAGTGGTAGCCGTGTTAGTCTGTATCAGCAAAAACAACAAGGAGTCCTTGTGGCACTTTAGAGACTAACAAATTGATTTGGGCATAAGCTGTCGTGGGTTAGAACCCACTTCATCAGATGCATGAAGTGAAAAATACAGGATCAGGTATAAATCCATGAAAGGATGCCCAAATAAATTTGTTAGTCTCTAAGGTGCCACAAGGACTGCCTCCTTATATACAGGTAGTGGTCAACAATGTACTCAACAGTCCCTGTCTATGCTGTATTCTGGTAATTCAGAGCTAAAAGAACATCCTAGCATTTAAATGAACTGTAAACATGGGATATCTCTGTATTCATCTCTCTTTGAAGTGTATAGCAATTCACCTGTGAATGGTGGAAAAACAGGCAATTGCCTTATGTTAATCTGTGTGAATAATTAACAACAATGCTTAGAAAATGAGGGCCTATTGTTCCCTGAGGGACTCTAACCTGTCAAAGAAGGCCTGAATTGTATATAAAAGATGCTTGGGTCCCAATCTTTTTTATCTCGGATCTGCTTGATGCTTCAATGCAGGGGAAGCTTAAGCCACAAGATTGAGATCCCAGTGCTAACTGGACCGCCCTGAATATCATATTGGACATTGGACTATAATCTATGGACTAAAATCTAAAAGAACTCTTTGCAACTATAAAGCTTACCATCGCTGCTATGAATCTGAACCTCAAGTATTGAACTCATCTGTATGTATATTGATCTTTTAACCATACTCTCTCTCTTTCTTTTTTAATACATTTTAGTTTAGTTAATAAGAATTGGCTGTAAGCGTGTGTTTGGGTAAGATCTCGAATATTCATTAACCTGGTTGGTAATGTGTCCGATCCTTTGGAATTGGTAGAATTTTTTATATGATGAAATAAGTTTTTCATTAAGCTTCATCGTATCTGACTTGGGTAACTAGGTGGAGGCCTGAGGCTGGGTTTCTTTAAAGGAACTGCGTTTTGGACTTCTGAATAACCAGTAAGATATAACAGAAGCTGTTTAGTGCTGGCTTGGTAAATCTAAGTATTGGAATATCCACCAGCTTTGGGGATTGTCTGCCCCATTCTTTGCAGTTCACCCTAGTTGAGTGACCTCAGCTGGCTCCCCCCGGGACCCCAGTCATAGCATGTATCCCAAAGAATCGTCTCACTAACCTTCCCTGAGCCCTTAGACCCACATAGTGCATGGTGTTGTGAGGACTGAGTTACATGGAGAACAGCAAACAAACTGTTTCATGATAGGCCCACCCCAAGAGTGTTAAATCCCTTTCCCCCCACTACACCAATTATAATGTAAATTACTCTAGTGGCTAGAGGCCCCAAATGAGATCATGGCCCCACTCTGCTAGGAGCTGTACAAACACACACCGAGAAACAATCCCTGCCCAAAGATCTCACAGTCAAAATAGATAAAACATGGCAAAAGAAACAGAGGCCCACCAAGGTGAAGTTAATTGTCTAAGGTTATACAGCATGCGACTGGAAAAGTCAGATAGATGGGTGTCCTATTCATATGACAAGGCATCCTCAAGTGCACGTCACGTGTCTGCACAATTACACAATGTACACACGCAACTTTAAAAAAAAAAAATCACGCCCGCTACATGATGTTGCTTCACAGGCAGGAGGATCCCAACTAACAGACCATATTGGACGTTTTCTGAGCATTTTGAAATGAATAAATATGACAAGCTAGCTGGGGAAAGCAAAAACAACCACCACCAACATTCTAGCACAAGCCAGCATCGGCACAGCATTCTGATGCATGGACATCATAGATTGACATCTTGCTGCAATGCCTGTAGGACTCATCTCACTTGGAAATAATAACTGAAGGATTAGAGCCAGGATAACAGGTTAGATCGTACTCTCTAAATGCATATTCAGAAGACAATTTGAATGACCAAAGGGAGTGTTTTATGTTTTAATAAAGGTGTGGCTGTTGGAGATATCTGATCACTTTCAGCAATTCTACCCATCCCCTTTTCATGTAAAAATACACTCCCTTGCCTTCAAGTGAACGCAGTCTCCACTGATGTATTAATACGTTACAGGAATGTTTGTACATCTGTCACTGGATAGACTAGTACAAGCACCCTGAGGGGAGATGAGTCACCCAAAGGTATATATACACATATACTATATGATTTCCTGACAGCCACTCCTTCAGTTTTATAAGATTATTGAACAACCAAGGCAAAAATAGGACCCCAATGGTGCTTTATAATGAGCATAATTAATACCACACACACACTCACACACACACAGAGCGCTAAATCTAAAGCACTTGTCAGCGCATAGAAACTGGGCCAAATTCTGCTCTCGTTGGTTTCAATAATGGGAATGTTCGAGAAAAAGAGACAGAAGAATCAGGCCATATGTATACTGAACTTCAAAGGTTCCAAAGTCACAAATTAGGAAATGCCAGGATTCAGGTTGTCTATGCAACCTTAATTCGTCCCCCTTGTGCATATGCATTATGATCCAGTCTTTAATTACATGACCACATGCTATTTTTTCTACAGCAGCCCCACCACATTCAGTGCGCAGAATGGACTGTGCTCACTTATTGAGCAGCTATTCAATAATTTGTTTTTCCCTCATCGTTCAATGTAGACACATGCCTTTTTCACTGCACACTATTCAAACCGTGTCCTGACAATAGAATGATTAATTTCCTGGTGGGCTTTTCTGTCGTTCTCATTGCTACAGTAGCCGAGCACTTCACAAGTATTAATTTATTTCTTTATTTTCAGAACACCCCCGGGAGATGAGGGGTGCTATTATCCCCATTTTACAGATGGGGAACTGAGGTACAGAGAGATCAAAGTCAAAAGTATCTGCTAGTTTTGGGTGCCCAATTTGAGACATCTAGAACCTGATGTTTCAGAGTACTTAGCATTACACAGCTCTGTATCTGTTCCAAGCACAGCTCCCCTTGACATCAGTTTCAGCTGTGACTATTCAGCACTTCCACAAATCAGACTCCAGGATCTCAAATCAGGAACCCAGAAAATGAGGAACACACAATTCCTGTGAAAAGTTTGGTTTAAATGAATTGCTTCCCACTGCACAATAACACGGTGACAGAGGCAAGGACAGAATCCAGATCTCCTGGGCAGCATTCAACTGCCTTAACCAAGAGATCCACCTTTCTCTTCCTGCAATCTCTGCCTCATCCACTACACACCTTCCAAGGCCGTAACAGATAGAATGCACCTGATCTTGTCTGATCTCAGAAGCTAAACTAACCCTGGGCCCGGCTAGTACTTGGATGAGAGACCACCTGGGAATCCCAGGTGCTATAGGCAGCTTTTCTTCTATTTCCAGTCCCTTATCCAATCACACCTCTGGGCAGAGTTCCTCTGGGCAGCATCCACTGACTCCCTGGATGCCTTTGAGGAGCAGTGGGTACTGTCTGGGGCTCTCTGCTCAGTGTCCTCTTCTGGACACCGAAGTTTTGTCCTATGACCTGCACTCCCACTCCTGTTTTTTTCATTTGCTGTCCCCTGCATTTACTTGTGGCCTGGGACCACTGGCCCCTCCCGCTGGGGTGGGGGGTTGCCTTTAGTCGTGGGCGAGCTTAGGCCTGCAATCTCCCAGGCACACAATAGATACACACCTTCCAACTGCTGCAACCAAAGTCATAGGGGTTCTACAGATTACAGCCTCCTTCCCAACACAGCCCTGATTCATCCCCAGAGCATCACCCTCCTGTGCACTGAACGAGGCAGGAGTCCTGCTGAATTAATAGTACGTGATCATGTCACTAAAGACTGTCTCGTAATGCGTACGCACAAGGGGATAAAATTAACACGTGCAATCTTAATTCTGGCATTTCCCAACTTTTGGGTGCCTGACTTTGCAACTTTCATAATGTGCCGCTGACATAGTTTTGTGTGTCATTTCCTTGGTTCTTAAAAAAAGGAAACTGAAACAAAAACAACAGAAATTCCATCATGTGCTATCATATTGACACCCACACTCATTGAATTGCAGCCACTTCTGCAATGGAGCGTGGCAGCTGTTTAACAGCACATGGCAACTTTAAACCACCATTTAGGAGCAGAAGTGAAGAATTTCTGGGCTAGATTCTCTAGCTCAATGTGCCTTAGCTCTGCTGGCCTCTATCCTTCCCTCTCCATAGGCCCTCCAGTGCAGACCACGAAGAGAGGAATCCCAGAACACAATGCAGTAGGGAACTAGAGACAGCTAGGACCGTTGAGAGCAGCCTCCAGTCTGCTCTAGTTTGACTAGAGGCTAAGGCAGAGAATCGGGATGCTGTAACTGGCTCCATGACAGTCTGCTGCACCCAGCATATACTGTATGCCGCAGAAAATCTGACCCACTAGATGTAACTAAAACTGCAGGCGGCATATAAATAGGGAAATGTAATTACCCGAGCTGGGGTCTGGTTGGTCCTCTGGGGTTAACGCCCCTACTTGCTATACAAGTACAAAGTTTTATCATATTGTGAAAAGTGTCATGGGAACATTATCATTAATTTATTATAGCGAGTCAAAGTATAAACATTTTCCCATAATACCCAGGGGCCATGATCTTTAATGACCACGGTTGCTTATGGCTTTGGTTTTATGCCTCATCCAAAACACCAGGGGAAATGAAAGACTTACCAGTCTGTGCCTTCAGCTAGATACCTGGGCTGGGGCCCCATGGGTTGAGGAGTTTGCAGTTGGTGGCCGAAGTCAAAGCCTGGGGGTAACCGATGAGGTTGAACAGACATGCGCTCCTGAGTCCGCCTGCAGGGGTGAGCACAAGGGCAAGCGTGTTTAGAGGTGAGAAGGACATGGCCAAATGCTGTCAGAGGGGTAAGATATGGGCAGATTGCTAGGTAAAACTTTGTGTACCTAGAGCTCCCTCACCAAACACATCTTCCTTCCTTTCTTTAAAATAGAGGGGGGAAAGATATTGCTCTTCTGTGGAATTTTATTTTTATATCACACCCTAAGCACATAATAGTAAATAAGGCAAGACAACAGCAGCAATAGAAATGGCCACACTTTTAAGGGGTGACAGACAAGACACGCAAGGGATGAGAGGGATGGGCAGCAGAGGCAGAGCGGTGATGGGACTTGCCCAAGCTCACATGGAAGGTCAGCGGCAGAGCCAGGAGTAGAATCCAGGTCACCTCAGTCCCTTTCCAGCACTTTATCCAAACTTACTCCGTTTACAAGCAAAAACAAAAGTAAGTTATTTTTGAGCATCAGCACCACAAACAGCCTCAAAGCTGTAAGTCAAAAGTTATACTTACTGGCTATGGGTATGTCAATCATAATACAGAATCTGCAAGCCTAATTCAGCACCCAGTTATACTCTCTGTATCCATCCTTGTCTCCACATTCAACTTACTAACCTGTTGTTATGAATGGGGTTCCACAGGCGTCTCCACAAATGGTAACTAGGAGAAGACTTAGGCCCTGCCCCTGGAATTTAGTCAACAGGGTAGCAGCAGCTGAGTGTGGCAGTTGGGCCAAGCAATCCACCATCTGTGCAGTCTCCTTCATACAGCCAATGAAATTGTGGCATGCAAATGAGCTGTAAATAGGGTTGCCAACTTTGGTTGGCGGTATTCCTGGAGGTTTCATCGGATGACACAATCTTTAATTAAAGATTAATCTTTAATTCCTGGAGACGCCAGGAAAATCCTGGAGGGTTGGCAACCCTAAGTAAAGCTGGCAGTGATTGGTTGAGTTATCTCTGATTTCACAGTGGTCTAGGACTCCAGGCAATGCACAGATATATGCCTTATTGTAGCTGTACATCCCAGGGGTGGAGTTTGTAAAGTCAAAATGGCTGAACACTTAAAAATTGGACGGTAACAGACTGTGAATTCCAGTGACGATTCAACCTGGTGACAGTCTAAACCAAAAAGAGCTCTCAACCATGCTTGTAGCCGTATCCATCACTTCACACTGACTCTGACGTTCTAGGCTTCAGAATAACAATCCTGGAATTTTATTATATTGCTTCTCTTGATGATATGCCAGAATAGACCCCCGCTTGCTCTCCTTTAGTTGTTTTGTCTTTGCAGGGCTAAGAGAAGAAGGAGGTAGTACAAGCAGTGTCTAAGGGCTGGTCTACTCACAGCTCTTGACTACTTTAAATGCATCCACACTATGGGGTTGCTGTGCTTTAACAATATCGGTTTCTAAACTGATATCGTTAGAGAGAGACCAAAACTGTGTGTAAACAAGACCTAAAGTACGCAGATGAGGCTCTGAACATACAAAGGGTCAAACCTGTGTGCTCAGTTGTTACGTAGTCAAACTCCCATTGACGCTGAAGGGGTGAGTGAGGTACAACTACACTGCATACATTGATACTGATGGCAGTTTGCCTGAGCAAAGACTGAGTAAATCTAAGTAAAGAACTCTGGATATGGCCCAAATGGAGTTAATCTGCTGAGTAAATAGGTTCCATTTTGCACAGAGTCACCATAGAACCCACACGCTGCAAGACATAAACCAGATTCTCCTTATTAAGGGTTTGAAAGAAACTTTCCCTGTAAACAGGCTATTCCACAGCTGCCAGCAACAGAGATTCTTGCAGTTTCCTCTGGTACTAGCTGTTTCCATGAACAGGATGCTGGACTAGATGAGTGCTTCTTGACCTTTTCCATACTGGGACCCCCTGAGAACTCCCTCCCATATAGCTGGCATCACCCATGTAACATTGTGAGAAAGGCATAGGGGTTGTGAACCTATTACTTGATTTGTGAATCCCCCAAGAGCCCATGACCACAAAGTCAACAACCCATTGACTAGATGTACCACTGATCTGATCGTCTGAGGACATTTTTATGTAGAACTGCACTGGATGGTTTCAGAAGAGTGCAGTGTACGACTAAGTAATAAACATATCATCATTACCCTAGCCACAAATATATTTGCTACTGATCATTACACCCACTTAAAGAACTGACCCATGCAAAACAAAACAAGCACAAGAAGAGTATAAGAAAACACCTTTAACAAGGAAAACATATGGAAAGGAGGAACCTTCACTCTGCAGCAATCCTTCCAAACACAGCATTATTGCAAAGTTTCATGCTTTAATTCTTGATCCATTAGTATAACCCACAAATGGTTTCCATATGTTTTCAAATAGGTCTCCCCATCCTATATTTTATACAAACCACTCTCTCAAGAAATGCAGTCAGGGTAAGGCCTGACGTCAGTTTCCATCTCTGTTGAATTAAAATTATTCTCTTTGCAGTCATCCATCCAGTGTGAAGCCAAGTTGCCTTCCTGGACAAAATGTTCTTCAAATCAGAAGCATCATTTACTCTGCATTCAGCTGGATTATAGCATCAAGCCTGCACCCAGAATGATGATCCTCTGCCTTCCCATAATATTCACATATAAGTGAACAGACCCAGAATATGTGATAAAGTCTCCTATAAGGTTGTGAAACCTCCCACAAACATTTATATAACTCATACAAACTACCCATTTTCTCTGTTGCCCAGTATAGATTACGTGCAGTTTTAAAACTGTCATCCTGATTCTCCTGTCATTTACAGCAGTACTTCCAATGACTTCAGGTGAGTTACACTAGTGAGAGAGAAGACTCTGTCTTAGTACTTTTAAATTCATGTCCCCAACTAGTCTTATAATTAAGAAGCCAAATGTTTTCCCCATTACCTTTGTGTAACTTTCACCTATTCTGATCTCCCATGTGCTTTTAGGACCCACCACTAAACATACATATATATATATATATTATATTCTTAATGAGTTTCCTTCACGCATCTGAGTTTTCTGAGCTTTATGGGCACATCAGTCAGGTGTTTTCTGTAAGGAATCACTCAATGATGTTTTCATACATAGTCACAACTGTGAACTCCACTCTTGCTGGAACTTTTTTTAAGTTGGAAAAAAAAAAAACTAGTGGCTTATTTTCAGAAGACCTGAGCAGCTACATATCCCATTCTATCTAGGTGGTTGTACTGCAATTGCATAGGTGCAACAGAAGTTGAAAATCTGCTCGGCAGACTCTCTTCCTCTTGATGATACCTCACCCTGAAAGACCCACAGACAGCTTTGGTGCTGGCTGAATCTGTGGCAAGGACAGTTAGAAACCAAATGTCATAGGAAGTGAGTGAAAGACGGAGCCCCAGGATACAGGGCCGGCTCTACCATTTTTGCCACCCCAAGCAAAAAAAAAAAAAAGCCGCTCGGACTGCCGCCCAAACTGCCGAAGCAAAAAAAAAGAAAAGAAAAAAAAAGCCGCTCAAACTGTGCCGCCCCAAGAATGGACGGAATGCCGCCCCTTAGCATGTGCCGCCCCAGGCACATGCTTCCTCCGCTGGTGCCTGGAGCCGGCCCTGCCAGGATATCATTTGTTCAGAACCACTTTTCAGACCCTAAGAGGACAGGGGCATCCCTCCATTCTAACCTCAGAAGGTCTCATGGACTTCTGCATCTGAAAATCAGGCCGGGGTATCTATCCCCTCCAGCAGGTCAGATGTGTGTAGAATGTGATTTGACATCCAACAAGTCAACTTTGACATCAACTTTGTTTTACTGCGCTCCATGAACAGGACATGGAACCAAACTCAGCCCTGATTTAAATGTGTTTGAGCCCCATTGACGACACTGGTGTCAGCCCCAGCTACCCTAGGGCTGAGCTTGTATTGTTATGTCTCGAATGTAAGAAGAGACATCGCCCTTGAGAGCCATGGGCTGGCTGGCTGCCCTATTTCTTGGTGGAAAGGTCACTCACCTGGGATGAGGCATGAGCCTGCGGTGCTGGGCCTCGAGGAGCTGCTGCTGGAGGAGGTATTGCTGGTGTAGCGCCTGAGGTAGGAAGGAGGGTCCTGTCACATCCTGAAACGGCAGGGCTGGCAGAGGTGGTAGGGGCTGGTGTAGTGGGCCGTTATGCTGGTGAGCTGTCGCCATGTGAGGGTTCAGCCCTGGCTGTGGCTGGACAGGGTGAGGGAGAGGGAAGTCAGCTGAGATCTGAGGTTGGGGGCCCAGATGGAAGTGCCGGCAGGAGGTAGCATGAGGGTGCTGAGACCTTTGAAAAGGAGCACCTGCAAAAGAAAAGCAAGTCTATCAGAGAGGTATGCAAATACCGCCACAAAGGCAATAGGACTTCCTCTAGAATACCCCATCAGGAACAAAGCCTCATAGATGTCTTCCATCTCTTCGAATTAATGATCAAAGTCATCTGTATGCCCGTGACCACATTTCCAAACGTGCCTCCACAAAAGCCAGCAGTTGCATTACGTGTGCACAAGCTGGGTAGCTGCATTAAACCAGACGTGAAATCTTTAAAGCATATAAACCTTCCTGCTTTCGCACACAAGCCAGCCACAAACTCCCAGGAGTGAGGAAGAAATGTTACGTGTCCCCCAATGCCATCATTGTCCAGGGTGGAAGCTTTACACTTTTTTCTGAAGCCTCTTGCATTGGCTGCTAGCTGAGACAAGATCCTGGATTACATGGGCCAGTGGGCTGATTGAGCACATAAATACCTATTTCCTTAGAACTTTTGCATTCATAACAGATGCCATCTTGGCTGGCATACTAGGGATTGAACATGCATGCTACACACCCACTGAAAAAACATCCTCATGTAGGAAATTAAAAGACAGCAATATCATCATACAAACTACTTATTCTCAGTGTGTATCATACTACAAGATGAGTGTTTGTAATAAATCTCAGAGGTTTATTAGAATAAATCTTCCGGTACAGATCAAAGCCGAAAATGTAGAATCTCTTATCCTCTAAGCCTAAGGCCATCTCTTTTGTTCGGCACAAGTGAAACCTTATATCAAAGACATCCAGCTTTGTTTGTTTCATCTTGGGAGGCCTGGTTCTCATATAGCCTTTCAGTAACATCTGCAAGATCTTTCCTAAACTAACAATAAACCAGGTGCTACCTGCTAGAGGCCCATGTCCCTCTCACTCAAACAGACCCCATGAGTTCAATTCCCTTCTCTACCACAGACTTCCCTGTGACATTGCACTCTATATGATTTTACGAAAATATGCTGATGAGTGTGAATATAATGTAACTAAAATATGCTTCATGCAAAAGGTCTCTTGTAAGGTATCATTACAAAGCTTATAATCTACTGAGTGTGGTCATCCTATTTGTATAAATGTATCACTCTTGTATCTGAAACTAGAAATATAAAATATAACGCTGAGGTCCTATTGTAGTTATGCAAAGGGTGGGCCATTAATGATGGTTTGAAATCTTGACGGCTCCCATCAACCAGGACAATTGACTGTGGATGGCTCTGTTTGCTTGCAGGCCTTCCTGTGAGTCAGGCTGGGAGGAATGAAGGATTGGGGTCTCACAGGACGTGTGACCATGTCACCTGGTACTGAAATCCACCTTAAACCTGGTGCTTTTCCATTTAGAAGGAGGGGTGGGGACCCAGAGAGACAAAAGATTCCCACCTTGCTATATAAGGGTGTGGAATAGAACAAAGGGGGTTGCAATCATGAGAAATCCCCTAGCTACCACCTGAGCTGGAACAAGGGCTGTACCAGGGGAAAGGATTTTGCCCAGACTAGGAAGGCGTCCAGTCTGTGATAGAAGTTTATTGAAACATCTGAGTGTGAGGTTTTATCTGTATTCAGTTTTCTTACTGTATTAGGCATAGACTTGCGTGTTTTATTTTATTTTGCTTGGTAATTCACTTTGTTCTGTCTGTTATTACTTGGAACCAAAAGTAAATTCTACTTTTTGTATTTAATAAAATCACTTTTTACTTATTAATTAACCCAGAGTATGTATTAATACCTGGGGGGGGGGGGGCAAACAGCTGTGCATATCTATCAGTGTTATAGAGGACGAACAATTTATGATTTATCCTGTATAAGCTTTATACAGGGTAAAACAGATTTATTTGGGGTTTGGACCCCCTTGGGAGCTGGGCATCTGAGTGTTAGAGACAGGAACACTTCTTAAGCTGTTTTCAGTTAAGCCTGCAGCGTTTAGGGGACATGGTTTAGACCTGGGTCTGGGTTTGCAGCAGGCTAGCGTGTCTGGCTCAAACCAAGCAGGGCACTGAAGTCCCAAGCTGCCAGGGGAAACAGGCTCAGGGGTAGCCTCAGCACATCAGTTGGCAGTTCCCAAGGGGTTTTCTGTGATCCAACCGGTCACAGTATTTTACCTTAAGCAAGTCACTCAGAGCCTGTCTACATGGGATGTTAGTGCACAGCAAGCCAGAGTGTTAATCTACAGTGCCCTGGCTGTCGCCAAATGGGAGTAGGTCAGAATTCACTACAGAACTGTTAGCATACTGTGCCCCATAGGACATTACTGCATGACAAACTAGTGCACGGTAAATTCATGCTCTGGTTTGCCTCACACTAAAGCTCCATGTGGGACAAGCCCTAAGTTTCTCTTTGTCTCAGTCCCCATCTGTAAAATGGGGATAATAGCATTTCCCTACCAGTGGTTTTGTAAGCGCATTAAATATTGTGAGATGCTCAAACACTACTGTACTGGGGGCCATACAAGTATCAGAGACAAAAAATAATCATTTGCACTTCTGTGGTGCTTTGCTTTAGAGTGTCTCAAACATTACATGAATCTGGCCTCACAACACCCCCGTGTAGGTAGGTGGTATTATCCCTGTTGCCAACTCTTACGAATCTCATGATATTTCGTATTTTTCTTCTGTGGCGTAGTGGTATAAAAAGAAGTGGGTAAGCTGAACTCCATATGTCCCAAATGAGACATGGGTTAAAACTCTGTTTACCCAAATTTTCCCCTCAACCCCATGACTGTTTTTGTCAAGACCTGGCTCCTGGAGTCAAGTTATTTCACGAAAATCTCATCTTAAAACCTTCAGAATGTGACTCAACTACACCCAAACAGCTCAGCACCCAAAAAGGAAAGAAAAAGAACCCCAGATTTATCAGTTTTTTAAAAAAAGTTTCATGATCTTTAAACAATTTCATGGTTTTTAGGGCTTGACTCATATTTTAATGCTTGGGTTTGACAGTATCAGATTCACTTTATAGACAGGTAAAATGAGGCATATGGAAGTTAAGTGACTTGCCCAGGGCCACATAGAAACCTACTGGCAGAGCCACAATTAGGACCGAGGTAATGAATCAGCATCCCTTTGGCAAAAGAGTCCGTTACGAATTAAGGGCGCGCAGTACCTCACTACAATTCTTTACAACTCTCCACTCTAACTTTTCTCCCATATCAAGACAGATTTCATTATGCGCCACACTGAGACTAGCCCTTACGTGGATGTATAGTGATTGCACACCGAGCCCCAGCCCCGCCCCCCATCTGCCTACACCAGGCAATACAGTCCCTGTGATCAGTAGAGCACAGGGATTTCTCCGTCTGTGACCCCTTGGGTGCAGAAAGGTCTGAAGGTGGAGCCATAGTTGATGGTGTAATATACTGCTCCGTCTGATGGAGTGTATCAGTGATCATAATGCGCTGGGCACTCTAGGAGAAATTCTGCTCCCTGAGGCCCAGCATTCCTTCAAGAACTCCCTCTAGGATGGCGCATCTCCAAACACGCTCAACATGGAGCCATGCATATAATGCACCATTGACCACTGGATCAAGATCACTTCTTACTGCAAGTCATTAGCATCATATACTCCACCACCAGTCATCCACACCCCATTTGTGCGTGAAATAGGATTGCTTCTCAAGAGTCATTTAAATAAATAGACACCCACTTATCTCTTGAAAATACAATCACCATTCTTTGTGGACAAAACTCTCCTTTCAGAACTCCTCTGAGAGAGAGTCAATTAATCTACTTCCTACAGCACGCAGCCTGGAGACAGACAGCATGCCATACAGCACACACATTGGAGACAAGTGGAGTTTGCTTTCGAATGCTTTGTTCATTACATACTTACTGTATATTGGACTGCACAAAACATAACCCTGAAACTAGAACAATGCCCACAACGAAGCCAAAAAACACAGGAAATTTACCCAAGTTGAAATTTTCTTACAAACTCAAATCTCTGACCAGGTGTGGAAGCCGCTTGAGAGAAGCAGGGTCCAATTTGGAGTGAACTTGGGACGATGTTATGGTCTCGAACTGGAAGTGTATTATTTATTGTACTGGGCGCCAACAATTAGCATGGTGCTTTGAATACACAGTAAAGTTCAGCCTAATGTGCAAAGCTGAGAAGTGGCTCCAAACTCCCCTAGAAAGCAGGGTGCTCCTATGCCAGGGCTGTGTTTTGGGGCCATCTTAGGTCAGACAAAGGCAAAGCAGTTGGCCATCTATTCATTGGGGTGCCTCTACAAGTCAGAAGAGGTGGAAGAATTATACAGAGGATATCTTTGAAATTTGTGGTTTTGCACGAATTTGTCCTGAAACCAAGCCACAAGCTGGTGATTTCTAATGGCGAGGAAGGCCATAAACACAGGCCGATTGAAACGAAGGGGACGTCTACACTCGGAGCTGGGATTGGGATTCCCAGCGTGTGTAGACATACTAGTGATAGCTCTCTGCGAGCTAGTACACTAAAAGCAGGAGTGTAACTGGGGAAGGTGAGCAGGTGAGCAGCAAAGCTAGCTCCTCTGATAACAAACCTGCCTGAACACCATGGGTATGTACTCGGCACAACAAACACCTGCCGTTGCTCGCAGCTGCCTGTGCTCCCGAGGCTACACGAGTACTCTAGTGTGCTAGCTCCAAGCAGAGACATACCCTAAAACAACTGATTGAACACACAAACCGCCAACTTTTGAACAATTCCGTGTATAACCCGATCGTACACAGGTTCTGATGATTTCACTCACTGGAAATGGTTGAATAAAGACATTCACACATTGGGAGTCTAATGAAACTGGATGATTTGTCCACAGCTTGGGGGCTGCATTACAAAAGTTTCACACTGCTCTGGGGCAGAATATTACACTATGCATTTTCATCTCTGATGAAGATACTCTCCATTAGACCTGGGCCAATATTGGCTAGCTGCATGCGGGAACATTCGTTAAGATAAAAGCCACAAACGTGCTTTGACGGAATTCGTGAGTTTTTTTTTTAATTCCTTTCCTACAAGCGGTGCGTGT